CTCTTCACGAACATCTGAGATCAAATATATAGCCCCTATATTCTCAGTTATGTTCACCATCTAGTCACAAATGTTGTCTATCTGAGTGTTGGAACCCAAATGCTGCACACAGGAAACCAGGAACAGTCCTTGATCAGGTTTAATTTGAAAACTCAGCTGGTACAGAGCAACGCAGGTATGGTACACAGAAATAAAAAAAGTCCAAGTAGAACAAAACAGTATGGAGCAGGCAGAGGATCGGGAAACCAGGTAATTGTTCAATGCAAAGAGCACCAAAGAGCCACGGGCAGACAGGAAACAGAGAGGCTGGCGTGTTTACCGGGGCTATATCCTGATTACATGCTTTAGGAGCTGTAGGTGTGTGTTGTACAGTGTGTAAGTGTGTGTGGTACAGTGTGTAAGTGCGTGTTGTACAGTGTGTAGGTGTGTAGGTGTGTTTGTGTGTGCGTAGATGGGGGGGGGATATATCGAGTCTCTGATAGTCTTACGTTATTATGAGTTATTATATATTTATATAAATATATATATATAAATATATGTGTGTGTGTGTGTGTGTGTTTGTATATGTCTGCATCTGTAGCCTGTTATTGTCTCATTATACCGCAGTCAATTAATTAAAGTAAATATATAAGTCGTCATGAACACAGTCCATCAGACAGAGGGCTGCTGTGCCTCCTGTCATCACTAATGGACGTCTCTTTAAAATGACCGCTCAGAGGAGAGGAGTTCTCATTTCTAACCGCCTGCTGCTTCCCCTCCTCTCTCCTCTGGAGGAGTGGCTGATCAGTGGGGTGAGCTGGGGGAGTGGCTGATCAGTGGGGTGAGCTGGAGGAGTGTGGAAAAGTACTGAGGTGCAGCAGGTGAAGGGAGGAAGCAGACTGTGACAATCTGTTGCTTGACAGGTACAAGAGTGTTCATTGTTTTTTTTAGAGCATGTTCACTGCTCCCGCAAACAACAGTCAAAACACCAAGTTGAAAGATGCTGAAAATGCTTCATATATTTGAGTGGAACTGCAGTCTCTGTGAGTTTCTCACACGTGACTCTGTTCTCATTACATATAGTTATTAGAAATATTGATTAGGGCAGCTTTGAGTGACTTACATCTGTTATTGATTATGCTTATACACATCTAGTGCTGCGTACCGGTACGCCGAACCGGTACTGGACTTGTAAAAAGCTTCGGTTCAAGTCCGGTTAAAACCGGAACGTCGGGAACCGGTACTTACGTATAGTCTTCTTTTTGTTCTAAACCATCTAAAACCTTCCATAGATCGAGAAATTTGCGCTGAGAAAAGACGAAAAACATTGTTTTGGCTTCTGATATGGCGGCCATTACTGAACTCACGAAGTCTCGCAAAATTTCGCAACTGCTCGCGAGATCTGTGTGACGTCAAGGGAAGCTGGCTTAGACATAGTGGACACTGACAGCTTGGGATGCTGGTTGCCATATTTGGTAGTGTAGCTTACTGACAAGCATGGGATACTGGTTGCCATATATGGTAGTGTAGCTAAGCTAACTCCTTTGTATGTATGGTGATATAGTGTCTGCCGAAAGAGCAACACTTCACCCAGACAATGTCAATATGCTGTTGTTCTTGAACAAGAACACATAGACTTGTACTCTTGCATATTGAGTCTTGTATGTACATCACTATGTATGTAGTTGTGTTGTGTAGTTAGTAACACATGTAGAGTTCTAGAAAAGACATGGTGTAGACCAGGGGTGAAAGTGGTTTGAATTTCTTGCAGGTACTATAATGCTACCCCGACCTTCATTGGTCCATATTGTTCTCCTCCCGCCCCCAGCTTCATGAAACCCCTAACACAAACTTCAAATTTGTAATGCCTTTATGGGGTAGAAATTAGAAATAGCAAAACACGCCCTAAATCAGCAGAATTTGCATGCTGCAGGTCAATCAGACTCTCAAAGTCTGTGAAAGGCTTGTTGTTCTTGGCCACATAATAGGCTGTCATGAATACCTTGGCAGTAGACTCAAACACAGACTCCTGACTACTCGCGTTCATTCTCAGAAGAATATCTTTATTTGCTGTCTGAAGAATCTTGACTGCTTCATTATGTGCTGCAGAGTTCTTGTGCTCACGGATTTTTTTGCGCAGTGATGAAAGCTGGACATCCCTTGATTGGCCAGCTGGGATTATCTTTCCATCAGCCCACTGAATAGCAATATTAACACCACGGGATGCCATGACACCCAGATCCTTCACATCATGGCATGGGGTACAGCCTAGCCTTCCATTGTGAGCATACATCCATTCATTTTTCTTTTTGAACTGTTCATATTGTTCTTCTTTCCATATAGAAGGGTATGCAGTAGGGCTAGCATCACCCTGTGGTGGTTTCTTGGCAGGGGCACCTTGGCTCCCACGTTCTGCTGGCTGAGTTTCTCGCTCTTCCTCCCTCTGGCGCCTCAACCTGTTATAAATGTAGAATAAAAAATGTATAACTAAATTCAGCAGACAGTCCGAAATAGTGCTACATAGTGCCGTCTTTGTGTCTTTGCATTTAAGATTGGTTACATAAATTAAAATAAATATAAATTAAATATATCTTCATAGTATATTGTGATGCACAAGTGGTGGCAGGATTAAAATAGAAGATATCAAAGCAAAATATTGTTAATGTTAAATAGTATGCCCTGTGATACATGTTGGTGTTTGAGTAAGATAGCCTTGTAAGCCTGATATAGAGCAGGGTGCCCAACCTTTTTTGAACCAAGCGGCGGCGGATTCGTTGACGGTGTGGGGTTATTATGTCTATAGTTAGTTTGACACAATTACAGGTTTATTTGTATTTTCAACGTATATTCTTCTTCTGTCTCATATTACTACGTTACTATTATTAAATTATTATTGTTATGTGTATATGTCATATTTTTCACGTCCTCCTTCTCTTTTTTCAATGGAGTGATTGTGGCATGACATCTTCAACTTCGGATCCTTCTTATGCTATCCCCCGGTAGATCGCCGTGAGGTGGCCGAACTACGGCCTCACGGCGCCACATGCGTGTCCCGTTTGATTTCTGTTTAATGCGGCCCGGTCGAAGATGGT